AAAATCCACAAAACAGTGATACCTTTATTGGACCAACCAAAATGCACAAAATACAAGTTGCAAGCTTTTGAAGCTCCACTGGTTTCTTCATCAGGCAAAGGTGCTAAAAATCTTTCAGGAGAAAAAAATGACAGTGTTAGTCATAGGCTTGCACTTTGTCAAGATGTTGTTGTTCTGAGCTAAGATGGTATGGAGGCATAGCCATGCAGATGGGCCATTCCTCCTTCAAAAGCTTGCAACATGTATTTTGTGCATTTTGGTTGGCCCAATAAAGGTATCAGTTTTTCAGATGTTACTGTACTCTGTTACCCCGGATATGTTTTCTGGATGTGAAGATACTGCACTTTAACTGCAACAAGAGAATCCCAAATAGACAGCCAGTAGACTAGGACTTCACTACTTTAGGTTTTTACCTCCAACAAAGGTAGAACATTTTAAAAAAAATGGGACTGAAATTGGTTTTTTTTTACCTAAACACCTAAATGTTTTTCTAATGGAAAAACATGGAGGTTTCTTGAAAATTCAATGTTCTCTGCCTAACAAAGCTGGCTGTGACCCCACACAGGATGGAGAAATCCTGGATCTCAAAGGAAGTATCTTTTTGTGTTGCTAATAGAATTTAAATTTTATTTCTTGGATTTTAACATGCTTTCTCTCCCAGTACTCTCACTAAACCAGAAGACGAGTGGCCTGCCTGCATGGATATCCCTCCATATCATCATAATTTCAAAAGCTTGCAACATGTATTTTGTGCATTTTGGTTGAGTCAGTTTTTGCTACATATTGGCATGCAAGAGACTATTTTCAGTAGCAGATTATTAAATAGCATTTTATTACTTTATATGCAAAGTAATCTGATGAGCTTGTTTTATAGCCATTCTCAGATATTTCATCAGTTGTTTCAATAGATTTTTGGTAGATGAGGAATATATTAGGATAACTTAACAGTCAAATTTTTAAAAAAGTTCTAGAAAATGTAAGAAGGTCAGAGGGTGGCGAGAAAGTAATAATAGTTATTTGCTAGAACAGTCAGTTCAGTATTTTATTTTGCACAGGGAAAGTACAGTAATCCAAATCCCATTAGGACTTACATTTTAAAAAGGTATCAATAAAATGTTGAGGGCTGAAGGGACAACAATAATGGCCCCCTGATTTCCACTTATACTTTATGGCTACAGATCCATCACCCACACCCTTTTCCAAAAGGCCCCTCACCCACTTAATAAATAATAATAAATTTTTATTTATAGCCCGCCCTTCTGCGTGGCAATCAGGGCGGGTTACAGCATTTTAAAACAGACAGAATTAAAACATTCCTTCATCCCACAATCCAACCCTCCCATCCCCTTAAAACAGAATTAAACTTTAAAGAATTGAAATACAACAATACAATAAAAACAATAAAACAGTAAAACAATGAATCAGCAAAACAGGGCTTGACTGTGACTCTGGAGCACAAGAGAATAGAGAGGAAAGGCTTCTTCTGGGAACACAACTCTAGTCTAGATCAAGCCAATTTTAAGATAATTTATCAGTCTATACATTAATCAAAACTGTCTGTATTTTATTTTTAAAAGGTTTACCTATAGTAGTAAAATTGTTATTATATTATAAGGTACAGTTGGCCCTCTGTATCCACAGATTTTTTTAATTCACGGATTCAAGCACCCAACGCTTGTAAATATTTTAAAAATAGATAAATTCCAAATAGCAAACCTTGATTTTGCCATTTTATATAGGGAACACTATTTCACTACTCCATTATATTTCATGGGACTTAAGCATCCATAGATTTTGATATCCATGCGGTTTTTTCAAACCAAACCCCAGCAGCTACCAAGGGCCCACTGTACAAATATAAATATTCATAGCCTTATGTTCTCTTAAAATACACTGGCTGTTTAAAATTTAATCTTGGATATATTTAAAAAGAGACTTTTAAACAATGGTTGACACAAAGCTGTTTGAGGCACATCAACAAATGTACCACTCTGTCAGGGTACACAGAGTTTTAGGCATCTGAAGCAGATAGCCTCAATTCTGCCTCTTCCCCATTGTGTTGTTGTTGTTGTGTGCCTTCAAGTCACTTCTGATTTATTGCAACCGTCAGGTGAGCCTATCATAGAGATTTCTTCAGAGATTTGCCACTGCAATCTTCTGAGGCTGAGTGTGTGATTTGCCCAAGGTCATAAAGTGGGTTTCTATGGCCAAGACAGGATTCGAACCCCGGTCTTCTAGGGCGTCCTAGTCCATCACTCAAGGCATTACACCACACTGCCCTCTTCTCCATTTTAGACAATAAAATGCAATCATAATGAAGTAACAACCTTGTTGTTGTTGTTGTTGCGTGCCTCCAAGTAATTTTTGACTTACAGTGACCCAAAGGTCATAGAATCATAGAGTTGGAAGAGACCACAAGGGCCATCCAGTCCAACCCCCTGCCATGCAGGAACTCAAAATCAAAGCATCCCTGACATATGGCCATCCAGCCTCTGTTTAAAGACTTCCAAAGAAGGAGACTCCACTACTCTCCAAGGGAGTGTCTTCCACTGCCGAACCGCCCTTACTGTCAGGAAGTTCCTCCTAATGTTGAGGTGGAGTCACTTTTCCTGGAGCTTACATCCATTGTTTTGGGTGCTAGTCTCTGGAGCAGCAGAAAACAAGCTTGTTCCCTCCTCAATATGACATCCCTTCAAGTATTTTAACAGGGCTATCCCCTCTTAGCCGTCTCTTCTCAAAGCTAAACATACCCAGTTTCCTAAGTCATTCCTCATAGAGCATGGTTTCCAGACCCTCCACCATTTTAGTCGCCCTCCTCTGGACACGCTTCAGTTTTTCAACATCCTTTTTGAATTGTGGTGCCCAGAACTGGACACAGTATTCCAGGTGGGGCCTGACCAAAGCAGAATAGAGTGGCACTATTACTTCCCTTGATCTAGATACTATATTTCTATGAATGCAGCCTAAAACTGCATGGCCTTTTTAGCTGCGGCATCACACTGTTGACTCATGTTCAACTTGTGGTCCACTAGGACTCCTAGATCCCTTTCACACGTAGTCTCCTTAAGCCAGGTGTCCCCCATCTTATATCTATGCATTTCATTTTCTTGCGCTAAGTGCAATACCTTACATTTCTCTGTGTTGAAATTCATTTTGTTAGCTTTGTTGTTGTGTGCCTTCAAGTCATTTCCAATTTATGGCAACCTTAAGGTGAGCCTATCATAGAGTTTTCTTGGCAGGTTTCTTCAAAGGTTCGCCATTGCAATCTTCTGAGGCTGAGTCTGTGATTTGCCCAAGGTCATCAAGTGGGTTTCTTGAACGTTAGGTGAACCTATTCTAGGGTTTTTATGGCAAGTTTCTTCAGAGGGGGTTTGCCACTGCCACCCTTTGAGGCTGAGAAAGCATGACTTGCCCAAAGGTTACCAAATGAGTTTTTATGCTCAAACAGGGAATCAAACCAAGTCCAGCAACAATGGGCTGACACCTACCTACATTTTGCTGCTGGAAGCAGTTAATAGTAAGGCACTTGTCTAGTGGTAGGACTGGCTGAGCTGCAGTCCCACAGGGCAGTGGTGCTTAACCTTGAGTCTTGGTGCCTTTTGCAGGCTAATGAAAGCCACATCCCTCCCCCTTAGAAAAATGCACTTAAACACAATTTTCCAAGAAAAAGGAAGGAAATCAAACATATAAATGTACGTAAACATACACACATATATTGTTCACAGACTCCCTGAGGTACATCCATGAACAAGAACCCTTGCCATAGGAAACAGGTTCGTAACTGAGTGGTAGAAGGGCAGGCTTGGCATGAAAAATGCCCCACATGCTCAGCCCAGATTAAACATGTCCGTATGTGCTTAATTCGCCAGTCACAGTGGTCTGAGCATTGGACTATGACTCTGGAGACCAGGGTTTGATTCCCAGCTTGGCCATGAAACCCACTGGGTGACCTTGGCCAAGTCACACTCTCTCAGCCTCAGGAGATGACAATGGCAAACCTCCTCTGAACAAATCTTGCCAAGAAAACCCCATGATAGGTTCGCCTTAGGGTCGCCATAGGTTGGAAACAATTTAAAGGCACACAAAAACAACAGCAACAACAACATCAATTTATGACAACCCCATTAATTTCATAAGGTTAGGCAAGACCTTCTGAGAGGTGGTCTTACAGGAGTCAAAAAAGACCTTGTTCGACCTCGCTATAAACAAATTGCAACGTTTTGATCAACACAGGTTAGGTTACTGATTTGCATACCGAGTCTATGGCTCCAAAAATAATCCAGTTCGACACTTTTAATTGCCATGGCTCACTGGAATTCTGGGATCTGTAGCTTGTGGTGGCACCAGTTTTTCTCTACAGTTCCCAGAATTCCATAGCAATTGAGCCAGCGCAGTTAAAGTGGTGTCAAACCAGATTACTTCTACAGTGTGGTTGCAGTCCTAGACTTGAGCCTACTTCCTCAGATGACCATGAGGGAGGGTGGTCGTTTTGTGAGACATTTACCTTTCTCTGTCGGACAGCCTTGGTGCCACAACAAACAACAAATCCCATAATTCCATAACACTGAGCAGTGGTATCAAACCGGATTATTTCTTCAGTGTGGATGCAACCTATGACCACAGAGCAGTCGGGTGAGGAAACAGGCTAACCTGCTTTAAATCAGGGTCTTATGAAGCTTTGGAGAAACAGTGTTGTGTAATGGTTTGAGTGCTGGACTATGACTCTGGAGACCAGGGTTCGAATCCCAGCTCGGCCATGGAAACCTTGAGTGAGTCACACTCTCTCAGCCTCAGAGAATGGTTATGGGGGGGGGGAAACCCTGAAAAAACTTGCCAAGAAAAACTCTATGATAGGATCATCTTAGGGTTGTCATAAATTGGAAACAATTTGAAGGCACAAAACCACCACCACCACCACCACCACAATGGTTATATCCTCAGGAGGGGAGCATATGGATATGTTTGTGCTGGCCATTGTGCAGTTAAGGAGAGGATTGAGAGCCAGCGTGGCGTAACGGTTTGAGTGCTGGAGTATGACTCTGGAGGCCAGGGTTGAAATCCCGGCTCAGCCATGGAAACCCACTGGGTGACCTTGAGCAAGTCACACTCTCTCAGCCTCAGAGGATGACGCTGGCACACCCCCTCTGAAGAAACTTGCCAAGAAAGCCTCATGCCAGGCTCTCATTAGGGTCGCTACAAGTCGAAAACGACTGGAAGGCACACCCCCACCACAACAACACAACATGAAGCTTTGCGGACAACAAATTCCCATCCCGTCCCCAGCTGCGTCCCAGCCCTGAAATGGCGCCCGAAAGCCTTTGACGCCCCCTCCCTCCGCCTTTCCATCCGCACCCAGCAACCGTAACTGCTTCGTTGGACTACAACTCCCAGCATGCGATATTTCCCTCACCATCCCCGCCCCAGGGCCGAATGTCGCCGGCTCTCTGGGCCCAAACGCCGGCTCAGCTTCCCCGCTCCGAAGCCGACCCTTCGCGGCCTACTTCCGAGGAGAAGGCGCGCTGGCTTGGCCTAGTTCTGCCTCAGGCCTTCTTCTCCTCAGAGCGGCCTCGGCGGCGGCGGCGGCAAGGCCTAACAGGCCTCAGCTGCAATAATCCACTCTGACAGCGCTGAAACTGCCATGGCGCTATCCCAGTGTTTTTTGTACTTCGACTCCCAGAATAGTCAGGGATTCTGGGAGCTGAAGTCCTAAAACATCTGAAGAGCCAACAGTTTGGGAATCGCTGCTTATGGGAATCCTGGGCTTTGTAGTTTGTTGTGGCGCCAGAGCTCTCTGACAGACAGAGAAGGCTAAATCATGTCTCACAAAACTGAAAGCAGCTCAGTTTATAAGATTAGATTTTGAGGATAAAGGCCTGCCTGCCTGCATGGGAATCTGCGATAAATAGATAGATTATAGTACTAATTTGAACGGATTATGTAACAATTGTGATATGTTTAGTACGAAACATTTTTGTAACTTTAGTGCAAACATTTTTTGCTGTATATGCTACAGAGCCAACTGTGACTGTAAATGTTTTTAAAGTTTTAGTTAATTGTTTTGTTATTGTTATCTTTGATATAATTTATTGTTTTAATTGATATCTAGTTTAATTGACTTTTAAGGGCGGGAGGGAGTTTGTTACTATGTTATGTATTTTTAGCTTTGTAAACCACCTAGATTGGTTCGCCATCGGGCGGTATATAAATAATAATAATAATAATAATAATAATAATAATAATAATAATAATAATAATAAAGGTTTTAATAATTTGTTGTAATTTGATGGCTGTAACCTGTATATGGTTGTTATGGATAAACTCTACACAAAACTGCAAGCATTGGATGCCCTACATTTTGTGGTGCCTTGTCCTCCTTTGTTGTTATGACACCTGGTCACCTCTGACTAGATGCCCTAACCGCAAAGGAGACCATGTCACTGTAAAATGTAGGACCGGCTTTAAGTACTGGTAACCACGCTACACAAATGTGTACCGTATATATGGAGATTTCATCCATTGTTGTCATTTTGATTGCAGAGAATGCTAGATGTAATTAGTTTATTCTGGAGCAATATATAAGGGAGTACATCCTTCAAATGTTCATTATTAGAATAATATTGTAAAGATGTAGTCCCTTATTATATACAGATAGTTGTTGAAATATTAAGCTATTAGAAGATAAGGTTAATGGATCAGAAGTTGAGGAATGTTCCATAAATAGCCAGAAGAAATTTGTTATATAGGTTAATAGGGCAAAGTTTGCTTTAAGTTATTCATTCTAGTATTTTACACATGTTTGCAGGATTCAATCCAATCCACTTATTACAAATTTTGTGGGTGTTTCTTTCACATTTCAGTATTACCCTTGTTTAACATCCTTTTAACTTCCAGATAGATTGCTATGTTAGCCTTATTGCTAAGCACAGTGTAGAAGTGTCTTGTGACAAGAGGCTAATAAATTTATTATGGCATGCATTTAAGCATACTAGTGTAGGGTTTGTTAGATACAAGATTAAGTACCAATGGGTCTAGCAGAACAGAAGATTTCACCTTTTCCCAGACTGTATTCTGAGAGGTACAATGGACATCCATTGCAGTCTATACAGATAATGCAGTCTACAAATCTGCATAATTCAGCATTTATATGTCTTGCATTGACATACTTAGCATTTTTAATTACCATTATTAAACTTCTCAGAATAATGTCTCTGTATGTGTAGTACAAATTAAGATATAATAAAGACAGTAGTGTGTTTAAAATCCAGCATGGCATGAAAGCCAACGTCACACAAGTTTAGGCATGTATGATGGGACATTTCCCTACCTTCCTCGTTCTTCTTTTTACACTACCTCTGACCTGCTCTCCAAAGGGTTCCCCAGTGTTTAGGAACACATTCTGATGGTCTGCAGGACGCTGCAGGAAAGGAAGAACTGCCCCTCCTTATGTTATTGACAATTAGTTCAGGCAACAGGAGAATTTAATTAGAAACTACTACAAACCTGCACAATGCATAAAAGCACATCAAGATCAAAAGCTAGAACAAATCCACAGGGATTCAAAATAGATCTTGAGAAAACAGACAAAAGTTTCCACTGAACACCATTAATGAATGAATGAATTTATATTCTGCCTTTTTTCCAGAATACAGAATCCAAGGGTACAGTTCCTAGGAAGAGAATTCCTAAACCTAAGGTGATACCACCCCCAAAAGTGGTCTCCCTCTGTCATGTGAACATCTTGTAGTGGTGCACATGGAAGGTTACTTTGGACAGAAGGACTAATTAATGGGAGGAGGTGTTCCATCGAATCCTGAGTTGTATGGAATTTTACAAGTCAAAAACAACATTTTTAATTTGGCCCAGAAATGAATTTAATGAAATTTAATTTGGCCCAGAAACTACTGCAGCCTAGAGAGCATAATATGACAGGTGCCTAGTACTAGTTAAACCAGGGGCAGGCAACCTTTTTGAGCCAGGGGCCGGGTTGCTGTCCCTCAGACAATTGGGAGGCTGAAGCACCATAAAATAAATAAACAAATAAATAAATAAATATGCATGCACACTCTCTCAGCCCCAGAAAAGCCATGGCAAAACCCCTGTGGAGATTTTGCCAAGAAAACCCCAAGAACAAGTAATAACAACAATAATCAATATCATCATGGCGGGTGGCGTTGGGGGCGGCAGGACCGGCCTGGGGCTGGTCCAAAGGCCTCGGGGGGCCGCATGAAAGTGTTTAACTCAGGGGATCCCTGAGTTAAACACTTTCATCCATGTTTTCCATCACTAGCTGATTTTCCAGACCATCTTAAAAGGCAGCTCCATGTATAAGACAGTGCAAGTAATCCAACAGTAGTTGCCCAAGCATAGATTGCTGTAACTTTATAAAATATATATTATTGCAGCCAATGTGTTAAATTTTATTGAATGAGGTGTTATACACACACACACACTTATAAATCAACTTTTGTTATTATTACCACTAGCCTTTGGATTTAATGTGTTATAGAATGAGGAATTAATTGGGTTGGTTATCTCTTTTTCTTTATAGGCTAAAGATAAATACTGGTACAATGAATTAAATAGTTAAAAGTTGTTTTTTTGGCAGCAGCAGTAGTATTAACTTAAAAAGTGTTTCTGTTATTTGTTGTTGTGTCTTCAAGTTGTTTCTGACTTATGGTGACCCTATCATGGGGTTTTCTTGGCAAGATTTGTCCAGAAGAGGTTTACCTTTGCCTTCCTTTGAGGCTGAGAGAACATGACAAGGTCAACCAGTGGGTTTCCATGGCTGAGCAGCGATTTGAACTCTGGTCTCCACTCACAGTCCAATGCTTAACCACAACACTGCATTCACTCTCTCCTGTTAAATAGACTGGTTTCATTTAAAGGACTTTTTATTGCACTAGTCATTACATTTGCTTTTTTAAAAGGCAGGGGCCTGGAGAAACTGATTACAAGAGCTTGATTAAAAGATCCAAGTATGGATTTTTTTCAAGATCCAGCAGCCATGTTTACAAAACTGACTTGAGCCACAGAATGTCAAGTCCACAATTAATGAATAATTCCTTTCCATTAAAAACTAGGAAACTTCTCATTTTACCTGAGTGGTTCTACCCTTAACTACCACCACCCTAATAAATGTACAATTTCACCCAACAACACAATTTCAGCCATAACAAAATTCAAAGACTCTGCAAAATTCTCTAGGCATTTCTAGGTTCCAGACAGTGCAAATCTATGGCCAACCTCCACCAGAAGCATACTATAGAATCGTACTGGATGACCTAGAAAATGCATCTAAAGTACATATTTCTTTAGATGTGGGTAAGTGAAACCATGGGTACCAGTCCTGCAGATACAAGGGTCATACTATATACACCAAAATTATTTCAAGATTTTAATGTGAGACTTTCCAACTTTTTATATCTGGGTTGTTTTTTTCATTCTTCTTTCACAGAACTGTATGTTAGTAAAAACATTTAACTTCTGTACACTTTATATATCCCACAATAGCACTCGTATTACTGGGCAGAATCCAACTGTAGACCTCCACTAGCAAACCAGCAGAAGCAAGTAGGATTGGGAAAGTGATTTTCCTCCCCATTACTGACTCTTATGGGCTACCAAAACCAGCTCTGCAGGGCTAGGAAATCCTCTGGAGTTGGTTTTCAGGCAGTACCAACAGCAGGTGGGGGAGAAATTTTGATCAACAGAACTTTGGATTTAATTCACTGTCAACAGCACACAGAGTTGCTTCTTTGGTGTTTGTGACCGGAAGAGTTAAAGCAGTCCTACTCATAAAATGAAACTTGGCATACAGATTAGCATTTTAATTACAGTTTCAAAGTTAGGGAAAGACCAAAATTCATTACATTACAAGCTAAATGTTTTCTCAAGAAAAAAAATATTTCAAAAGCACAAAAATATAAACTCTATATACGCAGTGAGAATGTAGATTGTTTATTTACTGTCAGTAAATTACTTTACATAAGGCAATATTAATGGCTGGAACACCTGCAAATTATGTACAGAGAGCAATGTACAACTAAAGGAAGCTTTCATCTATTAGTAAATC